ATGTCTACATTAGATCTCTGGCAGAGGGGCCACTGAAAAAGAACAGAAGGGTCATCTGATGGCGGTAAACCTCTTCTATGAGGAAGCCTTTTTCCAAAAAAGCGTTTTCAGGGAAAGGCGAGTGCGGACTCAGAAGAGGAAGTTCTTTCAAAAGAAGAGGCTTCCGCCACTCTGTGTATAGTAATCGCAACTGAAATGCGAGATAGAATCCATCAATGTGGATGCTATCTTTCAAAAAAGCAGATGGCTTTCTGGATGTGCTTTCACTCTGTGGATGCTCTCTTTCAAAATGAGCTTTTTCTGAAGATCTCTTCCAGAAAAGCTTCTTCCAAAAGAAGCCTGTTGTATAGACGTAGCCTCAGAGGGGATCGGTCCCTGGAGACAGAGGGGTACCTGTTATTCTCAGGGCATGTCTAAATTGTCTGCAGCTTTTGAAAGAAGATATGCAAATTTGGAACCATATGATGGCACATTAGCACCCTACAAGGCCTTTCAATCTCAGATTTTACAAGCTCATAGGTGGGAAAAGTCTCTTCCTGTCTCTGAGCTTTGGTAGAGCACAAGAGAGATCACATTGATATTTCCATCCTCCCAGAAGAGCAGAAGTAAATAATATTCCATTCCCAAAAGAGAAGGAAAAAATAACTCTTCACCATCTGATTGTCCCCCTTCGGTGCTTGTAGCTTTCTGTCCTTCTGCAGCAGCTCCAGTTCTGTGCTGTCTCTACATTGGCAAGAGCAAGATATAGGTGAGAGGATTATTCTAGGAGGGGGTGGGTGGGATTCTGTGGCCTGCACTGAGCAGGGGGTCAGACTAGATGATCATAATGGTCCCTTCTGACCTTGAAGTCTATGAGTCTATGAGTCTATCTTGCACCAAAGCGGCCGCTCTTGCACAAAAACTTGCTGCCTGTCTTTATTGGCTGCATGTTCTTGCTCATGTAAACTGACTTTCTAATGTAGAAAATCAGGGCTTCTTGCACGAGAACTCTGATGTTCCTGCTCAGGAATAAGCCCTCTTGCGCAAGAGCTCTTCCAGAAGAGGCCAGTGTAGATAGGCACTATGAATTTCTTGTGCAAGAAAGTACTATGGTTAAAATGGCCATCAGAGCTTTCTTGTGCAAGAGAATGTCTACACTGGCAAGGATGCTCTTGCGCAAAAGCACATGCCAGTGTAGACGCTCTCTTCTGGAAGAGTTTTTGCACAAGAAATCTTTCACAAAAGATTTCTTGCACAAGAAGCTGCCAGTGTAAACGTAGCCTGTGTGAGGACAATAAAGGTACAACTACACAGCAGTGTTATTTTGAAATAACGTGCCGGTCTACAAAGCAAGCCATTATTTCAAATTAATTTGGGAATCCTTCAACTTTGGTAACCTCCATTTCACAAGGAGTAAGAGAAGTCAAAGGGAGAGTTTTCTTCCTTCCACTGCCGGCTCTGCAGACAGCGCCAACAGCTGAATTCTGTTGTTTCAAATTCAGTTACACAATTGATGTAGCTGAGGCTGTGGATCTTAGTTTGATTTTTGCCCGGCAGTGCAGACGTGCCATGAATGAGCTGCTAAAGAAGGTGGCAAAGGCCCGTATGAGGGTCTGTTCCTTCTCTCCCCAGGCAGAGTGATCCCCTCCCATCGTGCGACAGAGCCAGGGAAGGATACACACCGAGGCAAGAAGCAGAGCAGCTGGGGCTGTGTGCAAGACAGGAGTGGGATTGAGGGGGTAGAGAAGGAATTGACTAGAGAAGGGAGGCAGGGGCTCTTTCTGCCTGGGTTTGACACAGACCTTTTGTGTGTCAGGCAAATGGGGTAACACCACAGGACAGAAACAAGAGACGATCTCCTCACCATGGCCCAGTCACTCAGTGGAGCCCAGGGAGCCAAGTGGAGTGGCACAGCATGGAGGAGGGGGCAAAGGGCCAGGACACTTACTGAAGGATCCAGCCTTTGGCATCTGGCCCAGCATCTGGCAGGCAGAGCCTTAGGGACTCTGCAGCAGGGGGTGGTGTCCCTGCTCCATTGGCTAAGAGCACTGACGGGCCCTTGCTCCAGGAATGTCTTTGGTTTCTGTTTGGGCCAGTTACACTTTTGCCTCCAGATCTCACTCCCCTGGGCAGGGAGTTCCAGGGACTGCTGTGTGACAAAAGGCCTCCTCATCACCCCGTTTTACGCAAGATCCTTATGCCTGTCCCAGAGTGGCCATACTGCTTCTTTCTGCACAAAAGCCCATTGCACAAAAAGAAATGGCAGAAAATATGCTAATGCTGTTACGATTAATGCTAACGAGTCTCTCATTAGCATATTTTCTGCCTGAAAAACTCACAGTGAAGACGTAACCTGGGGCTGTGTCTACACTAGCATGATCTCGCACCAAAGCGGCCGCTCTTGTGCAAAAACTTGCTGCCTGTCTAGACTGGCCGCGTGTTCTTGCTCAAGTAAAATGAAGTTCTAATGTATAAAATCAGGGCTTCTTGCACAAGAACTTTGATGCTCCCGCTCAGGAATAAGCCCTGGTGTGCAAGAACTCTTCCAGAAGAGGCCAGTGTAGACAGGTAACATGAATTTCTTGCCCAAGAAAGCCCTATGCCTAAATGGCCATCAGAGCTTTCTTGCGTGAGAGAGCATCTACACTGGCATGGATGCTCTTGCGCAAAAGCACATGCCAGCATAGACGCTCTCTTCTGGAAGAGTTTTTGCACAAGAACTCTTCCGCAAAAGAGTTTTTGTGTGAGAATGTGACAGTGTAGACATAGCCTGGGTATGTCTGCACTGAGATAACAGCCCTGTGGCAAGGCTGGAGCTGGCCCAGCACAGCTGTGTTTGGCCAGCAGGGCTTGGGCTGGGAGATTAGAAAACTGCAGCCAGGGCCATCCCTGGGGGGGGGTTTACCCACACAAAATACTCACTTCCTAGGGGCACCCAGCCTTACCCATTCCTAGGGTTCAGGTGTGACCCCCAATATTGATATCCACTCTGAGCTGTTTCTAGAGCCCAGGAGTGAGCCTTCCAATATAGGCACCCACCCTAACCCTTCTGCAGGCTCAGGCATGACCTCACACTTTGCAGGTCTCTGGGGTCTTTTACCAGTGAAAGAGCCTTGCACAGTAATATCCTGCTTCCTCTCTATTTAGTAACACTCATCGCAAAGAGATGAATACACCGGGGATACTGTGCTCACCACGCCCAATGAGAGAGATAAGCATGCCTTGATGGGCAGTAGGATCAGGTCCATCTGGGGACTCCAGTACAGGGTTGAGGTCTGGCAGCTCTGCTCTTAGAGCTGTGTCCTGGACCCTGTTCCCAAAGTATTTTCTTTTGGGCTTCGGTTTATTTAGTGAAATCTGAGTCCTGCTAAGCTTTACCGTAACCAATTGTTTCAGGTTAATTTTACTGACGAATCATTGTCATGGCTCCTTCTCCACTCTGGCATGATAAATGCAGAAGTGGGGGCCAGCAACTTTACCCCAAAGCCTTATCTACCAGGCTTTGGTATAAAACTTCCCCCAAAATCTTCAAAACCTAGATCTTGGGAATAAAACTTCCGCTGCCACCACCCAAATATTGATAAAGGAATCAGGGGAAAGATCATTTGGGAAATCTCACCCCATTATAAAAATCAGGCCCCAAGTAGCCACTGCCAGGTTAATAAAAAGAAAGGAGAAAACTTTTATTATTGCAACAAAATTCCTGTTGCAGGCATAAGGATCAGATGGAAAAGTAACAACATCTACGCATGGAGGAATTACCCCACGGGCTAGAACGCAGGGTCTGTCTGCACCACCCCGCTAGCTGGAACGAGGGGGCGAATGGAGGCAACCGCACTTGGAAATGAAGCCTGGGATTTGAATTTCCCGGGCTTCATTTACATAAGCAGGGCGCCGCCATTTTTAAATCCCCGCTGGTTCGAACACCGTGCCGCGCGGCTACACGCGGCACGAAATAGGTAGTTCGAACTAGGCTTCCTAGTTCGAACTACCGTTACTCCTCGTGGAATGAGGTAGTCCTGCTAGGTAGTTCGGACTAGGCTTCCTATTCGGAGCTACCGTTACTCCTCGTTTCACTTTTTTTTCTAGTTTCACGAGGAGTAACGGTAGTTTGGAATAGGAAGCCTAGAGTAACGAGGAGTAACGGTAGTTCGAACTAGGAAGCCTAGTTCGAACTACCTAGTTCGTGCCCCGTGTAGCCGCGCTGCACGGGGTTCGAACCAGCGGGGTTTTAAAAATGGCGGCGCCCCGCTTATGCAAATGAAGCCCGGGAAATTCAAATCCTGGGCTTCATTTGCAAGTGCGGTATGCCTACATTACCCCGCTAGTTCGAACTAGCGGGGTAGTGCAGACATACCCTCAGAGAGAGAAAAGGAGAAAAGGAAAAAACCCAAATTCCTTTGTCCCAGTTTGACAGTCCTACCTACATTCCTACTGATCACTCCACCTGGCTAGGTGTAGTTAACCCCTTAATCCCCAGGCTGCTGGCTAACCTTCATAATCCTGACAATCATAACATACTGTAACAGAATTACCTTGCCAATCAGACCTCACCACCTCAGTTGACTTACACCTTGCAAAATCAATTATCCAGCGAACAGAAACTCTCACAAACCTGACAGCGATCACACAGACAAACAATAGGCAAGTGAGGACAATAATCATAGAATGAGGATTTCACAACCTCAGCTATTGATACGCAGTTTCTTGCCATGACATGGTGTTAGCTAAGTTTTCTCTACCCATCTTCAGCTCTGTTTCTTTATCTGGTGACAGCGGGTGCCTTTAGGACAGGATCCTTCTCAGCCTGGTGGGACACTATTTTAAGGCAAATTAGCTGGAATGTGAGTGTGTGACTCCAGGCTTTACAGCGAACGGCTGCTGCTCTTCAGTCTGGCTGCTCTATATGGCTGCAGAAAACCATACTGTTTGGGCAGAGCCTGCAACCCTGCACGTATCTCCAGAGAGCCACAGAGACGTTCTGCGGCTGTGGACTCACTTTTCTGTATCTGTGCTGAGCTCTAGCCCCAGTTTGCTCCACAATCCTCCTCCTGGCCCCGCAGTGTTGGGTCTCGCAGACCCCAGTGTCCCTGTGGGATTTGGGGAGGGGAGGATTTAGCAGCATTTCTGCACGCGCCCCTTCCAGGGGACGGCTCTAGGGCAGTGGGGTAGCCGAGCCAAGGGGAGATGGAAGATGAGGGGTGGGGATGGGTGTCTAGAAGGAAAGAGGGGCCTGGCCCAAATGTCCTTCTCATAATGCCCCTGGCAGGGGGATCCCAGCAGGATGGGAAGGGAGGGGGAACTTGAGGCAGGCATGGGGAGCATCTGGAGGAGTTTGTCTCTTCCTTCTGCCCCCTGTGGCTCATCAGCCAGGACTGCAGCTGGCACAAAGGGTGATTGGGGTCCCCCCTCCTCACCTAGGGTTTGCTCAGACCAGGCAGAAGAGAGTCACTGACCAGTTGATGGTTGGGTGCCACTGTCTCCTCCCCACAGAGCTGCACAGCTGGATCCCTGGCAGCCCAATGCCACTCATATATTTGTGGGAATTGGAGAGCATTGAGGGTACATCTACACTATACAATTAGCTTGAAATAACTCCCAAAATCACTGCTTTGTAAGAAGCATAACCCCCCAGGAAGGCAGGAGAACAGATTTGGAAATAAACAACCTGGGGGTTTTGGAAATAACAGGCTTGGTAGTGGGAATGCTCCACATATTATTTCTAAATAAGGGAAATAACTCCCCAGTCTAGATATGCCCTGAGAGAATTTCCCTCGGGTGTGGAGTGGTCTCTGGTGCTCAGGCTCTAAGAGAAGTGTTTTACACAACAGCTACTGAAATCTGAGAGGTTGCTTTCCTGGGGGATTGGCAGATGCAGGATCTTTGTGGATTCTCTCATGTCTAGTAAGGTGTGAGAATTGTCTAAAGTTCTTCCCACACTTATGGCCTGAGCCCCCCTACCTTCCCCTGCTGACTAGCCAAAAGCCAGACAGGAGGCGGAGGATTTTGGGACGACAGGTCATTGGACTGTCGATGGGGAGCACAAAGAGGGAACTTGGCCCGGTGGGGCACCAAGTAGGGGGAGTGGACTGACGTGCCCCCAGCGGGGTAGCCCCCCCACCCGCTGACACTCCCCCATGTGGGTTTTCTCATGTCTAATGAGAGCTGATCGTGCAGTGTAACCTTTTCCACACTCATGGCATTTATATGGTCTCTCTCCTGTGTGGGTTCTCTCATGGACAGTAAGAGCTGACCTCCGAGAGAAATCTTTCCCACAGTCAGAACATTTATATGGTCTCTCTCCCATGTAGGTTTTCTCATGGATAGTAAGAGCTGATCTCTGAGTGAAACCTTTCCCACATTTATGGCATTGGCATTTATATGGTCTCTCTCCTGTGTGGGTTCTCTCATGGACAGTAAGGGCTGACTGTTTAATGAAACCTTTGCCACACTCATGACATCTGCATGGTCTCTCTCCCGTGTGAGTTCTCTCATGTATAGTGAGGATTGGCTGCTGAGTGAAGCCTTTCCCACACTCATGGCATTTATATGGTCTCTCTCCTGTGTGCTGTCTCTCATGGACAGTAAGGGCTGACTGTTTAATGAAACCTTTGCCACACTCATGACATCTGCATGGTCTCTCTCCCGTGTGAGTTCTCTCATGTATAGTGAGGATTGGCCGACTAGTGAAAACTTTCCCACACTCATGGCATTTATATGGTCTCTCTCCTGTGTGCTGTCTCTCATGGACAGTAAGGGCTGACTGTTTAATGAAACCTTTGCCACACTCATGACATCTGCATGGTCTCTCTCCCGTGTGAGTTCTCTCATGTATAGTGAGGATTGGCCGACTAGTGAAAACTTTCCCACACTCATGGCATTTATATGGTCTCTCTCCTGTGTGGGTTCTCTCATGGACAATAAGGGCTGATGGCTTTCTGAAACCTTTCCCACGCTCATGACATCTGTATGGTCTCTCTCCTCTGTGGGTTCTCTCATGTCCAATGAGGACTGGTTGAGTACTGAAAACGTTACTGCACTGATGGCATTTACATGGCCTCTCTCCTATGCAGATTCTCTCATATCCACTAAGGTATGAACTCAAAGTGAAGCTTTTCCCACACACAAAGCATTTATGGGTTTTTTCTCCCACAGAGATAATCTCATGTTCAATGCAGGATGACAGTTCAGTCAAACTTTTTCCACACTCCAGGCATTTGCAGAGTCTCTCTCCAGTGTGCCCTCTCTGGGGCAGAACGCAGTCTGACTTCTCACTGAAACTTTTCCCAAACTCTGAGCATTCACAGGGTTGCTTTCCATTGGGACTGGTCTGCTGGGCTGTAGTTTCCTTGGGATCCTTGGATCCTCCTCCACATTCACTGGATTCCTCCGCTTTCCTTGTTGGATTGTTCTCCAGTTGGCTTTCTGCCCTGTGTCGATTTCCCCAGGTTTTTTCCTGTTTCACACACTGGGAAAAATCCCCTTCAGCTCCTTCCACAAAAGCTCCCTGTGATTTTACGGTGCCAGGCCCTTCCTGCTGTCGATTCTTCTCCTTGTTCTCCCTCACTGTCCTAGCACCTGCTGGGAGAGAGAGAATCCAGGCAGGACTCACTGTCTGTACTGGAGACAAAGGACTGACAGGGGAACGGTAAAGGCAGAAAGCACAACACAATAATAATTTGGGAGACTGAGACATTGGGTTTTGCCTCCACATCCCACCCAAACATTCCCAAGAAAAGAAACGAATGGGGGAAACTCCTGACAGCTAAGAGGATGGCTGGGGAGCTGTGACAGGTACTTGCCAGGACGACACCTGCAGCCCTATCTCGGGGACATGGGGTGGAAGTTAGGGCTCTCACCCAATGTTCATTTTTGGGAATCCCAGATTTTTCCTGCACTTCTAGAATGTTTCTGTGTCAGTTTCCGACTTCTCACCTGTGTGGGTGTCTCTCTGGATCTCCAAATCTTTGGAAGGCTGGAGATCTGGGACCCACGGCTCTTCTCCTCGTTCCAGCTGGGCGATCAGGTCAGGTTTGCGAAGTGGGAATCCTGCACAGGGGTGAGATCAGGCAAGGTGAAGGCACATGGGCTGTGTCTAGACTGGCAAGTTTTTCCGCAAAATCAAATGATTTTGTGGAAAAACTTACCAGCTGTCTATACTGGCCACTTGAATTTCCGGAAAAGCACTGACAATCTCATGTAAAATTATCAGTGCTTTTCCAGAAATACTATGCTGCTCCCGTTCGGGCAAAAGTCTTTTTCTGGAAAACTGTTCCAGAAAAGGACCAGTGTAGACAGCACAGTACTGTTTTCGGCAAAAAAGCCCCAATCGCGAAAATGGTGATCGGGGCTTTTTTGCGGAAAACCAGGTTGCGGAAAACTAGGTTGGCCACGGACGCTTTTCCGCAAAAAGTGCTTTTGCGGAAAAGCATCATGCCAATCTAGACGTGCTTTTCCGAAAATGCTTTTAATGGAAAACTTTTCCGTTAAAAGCATTTCCGGAAAATCATGCCAGTATAGACATAGCCATGGAGTCTGGGAAGAGCATGTGTCACAAGGAACATTGACTGAGCTCAATCTCATCCTAGAGCTGACCCTGGTGGTCTCCTCTGAGCCCTGTCTGGCAAGGACACATGCCCCTCTCCTGGGACCTAGAATCACATCTCCCTGGGGCAGCACATGGGTACGGTCGTGCCTCACCAGGGTATAGGGAGGAGGACACTATGGGGCATGAAGGGGCAGAGCGAGGAGAGGACAGCAAGAGGGGGAGGATGCAAGAGGCCAATGGGGGGAAGTAGAGGGAACAAGTCACCATCTGCCGCCTTGCACAGACCGTCCATTGCTGCTGCCAGTGCGGTCAGTGCTGGGTGGGAATGGGATGGGGGGGCCCTGCTGGCTGGCGCTGACACGCAGCAGAGGCTGACCCAGCCCCTGGCCACTCACCCCCTGCTGGTAGGCAGGCAGCTGGGGAGCAGGAATCTGGGGGCAACAGGACCCACCAGTGTGGAGGGGGAGAGAGACAGAAAATACAAGACAATTTACCCACTTTTAAGAGCCCTGCAGCAGGCCTTTAGCCCGGGACGTCTGCTCACGAACTAGAGTGCTGGGCAGGAGGCAAAACAGCAGCTCTCCCAGGCAGCCCCTAGCCATTGAATCACACCCTCCTGGGCAGCGCCCACCTCTCAGGAAGGGAAGAGGCACCTTCTCCAGGCACTGGGCACCCGCACAGCCCTGGGAAGTGGACGCTGGGCAGAGGGTTTTCTCTCTTTCTCCTCTTCCATATTTTTACAAACACTGCAAATGTCCATCCCGTGCCTCTCCCCCCCCCGCCCCCAAGTATTTTTTTTCTGGCAGGGCCCAGGTCCTGGTTTTAACCCTGCTGCCTGTGCCAATTTTACCCTTTGGCCCCTCTCTTGGCCCCACAGCCAATTCTGGGATCTCCCCACCCACACGGTCAGTTTGGCCCCTCACAGACTTTGTCTCTCCTCTGCAATTTCACGCATCATCATCCCTGCACAAACAAACTTGGGGGGGGGGCTTTTTTGGGTCAGGGGCCACACACACACAACCAAGTGAGAAGCAAGAAAAACCCCTCACTGACGTGGCCCACACACCAGCTGGAGTGGTGGTGGTGGAGAGGCAGAAACCCAGTGCAGGCTCCCCAATATCGGGGGTTCCCAGAGCTTCAGGGGCTGCACCCGGGTGGTCTGTTTGGCCCCGAGCAGCCCTGCCCCACATGCACCGGGCTGCAGTGGCATCAGCAGCTGGTCTCAGGGTTTGCGTCTGGCTCCATGTGCAGGCCAAGAAAAGCTGCCGCCACCGCGGTCACTACATATGCACCGCGCACACTCTGGGGCGAATTCTGAGGGAGCCCGTGGGGGCCGTTACTCTCTGCGCTGCTGCTTCGGCTTCCTGTCAGTGCTGGGAAAGTGTGGGAGGGGGGAGAGAGTGGAGGAGCAGAGTGAGGTGAGGCAGGGAGGTGGGACTAGGGAGGGAGCAGGGCTTGGTGAGGAGCCTGGTGGTTAAATCACTGAGGGGAATGTGTGTGTGTGTGTGTGTGGGGGGGGGTGTCCCTGGGACCCAAATCTCTGGTTGGGTCACTCTGGTGTGTGCATCTAGAACCTATCCCTGCTGTATTCGGCATTTAAAATGTGTTAGGAGCAAGGTGGGCCGATTGCCTGGCTCACTTATGGCTCCTGCCAGGTCCAGGAGCTTAGACCCCTTTCCCTTTGCTTAAACAGCAGCAGCTGCCAACCCATATTGATGCCTGTTTATCACAGGCAGCAGCACTGGGCAAGAGGCAGCCGGTCTGCAAAGGGAGCCGGTCTGCAAAGGCTCCCCTCTTGGACCAGTTCCCGTCTAGCACCCTGCAGTGCTGCCTCTGATGCACTGGCTGCTGGCCCCGCCCTTGGGGACTATAGAATAGTCAACTAAGCAATACAAATTCACAAGGTTACTCAACTATTATATTAACTGACATTTAACATCCCTACTCTGAACCTGCTTCCCCTGGGAGGGGGCATGCAGGGGACAGTCTCTCACACAGGAGCCAGGGTTATTGGGCAGATCCTGACATTGGGGGTTCAGGCAGTGAGGGACCCTGAACCAAACCCAACCCAGCTGCTCCAGAGCCCACCCAGCTTCTGATACCCGAGGGGACAGGAATCCTTACCCAGCCAGCTCACAGCCTCATAATTCTCCTGCATCACATCCCCGTAGAGGGTTCTCTGGCCCAGGTCCAGCAGAGCCCATTCCTCCTCAGAGAAACACACAGCCACCTCCTCGAAGCTCACCGGCTCCGCCAGAGCCATTTCCTGTCCCTGGTTCTGCAGGCCAGGGGCTGAGCTGGGGACAGACATGGGTGTTGCAGCCTGGCAGGGGAGAAGGGCCATTGGAGACATGTCAGTAGGGGCTTTCACCCTTTCTAGGGAGGTTAAATTTCTAGTGAATAGAGTGGCAGATGCAGGGCTGCTCAACCCAGTTTTTTAAGGCTAGACCGTTTATGAAGTTCTGTTGAGAGAAGGACAAGTTCTGGAGCAATGGGAGCTCTTCTGCAGGCCTTGCCCAGTTGGTCACATTCTGTCTCCAGGCTACAGCTCCGATGTTGTCCCTGGAGTGGACCCAAAGGGGCCCATGCAAAGGGCTAGGGCTGCAGATGATCATTAGGAGGCCCCCCGCGGGCTGCCCCTCCCTCAGCTCGGTGAGTCTGTCCAGGTGCCCCAGGCAACAGACTGGACCCAAAGGGGCCCATGCAAAGGGCTAGGGCTGCAGATGATCATTAGGAGGCCCCCCGCGGGCTGCCCCTCCCTCAGCTCGGTGAGTCTGTCCAGGTGCCCCAGGCAACAGACTCTACCGCCCCCCTCCCCCGCCAGTCCCCCGCAGATGCGG